GTGTGTGTGTGTGTGTGTGTATTATATAAGGCACACACACACAATAAGAAAATTCAGGCTGCTTAATAGCCAGTTGCTCAGTTTGGCTGGACCAAACATGAAGACATTGTCCTTAGCAAGTCCTCCCACGGATTGTGGCTCTTGTATTTCTGAAAACAATAGTGGGTTGTTTCTTTGTTTCATATTCTGCTGAAAGACAGTATGGTCAGTAAAGGCCCATAGACATGCACCGGATTGAAGTTTGAAGGTGACCTGCAAAAGAGAAAAATAATTCTGCTTGTGCCTTTTTTTTTTTTAATGATGGGTTAAAAAAGACCTTAAGAAAAAATGAAAAAAGCTTTAGTTTTCTTTTCAGCTTTATTTTGTATTGGAAACTCAGGTCTGTTTGCCCTTGAGGACTCTGGTGACTGAGAACTAGTTGAATTATCACATCAGCCTAAAACACGATTAGTTGAGGGAAGGAGGGATTTTTAGTTAACACCTATTTAAAATCAGTGTCGCATGAACATTTCTGAGAAAGCCTCTTTGTTAATAATTCAGTATTCCACCCCTTAAGTTAAAGAGTTAGAGCTCACAAGATTCATCTGAGACCCTTACACTGTCTTGCACAACTGCCAGAGAAGATCAGGTTTGACATTCTTGCTATTTCTGAAGTAAAAAAAAAAAAAAATCAAATCTTTAAAACAAAAAATTCCACTTTCAGCCTTTCGTTGTATGTCATGAAGAAGCAAAAATGGGCAAAGACTTAAAGTTTAAAAAAAAACCTTTGGTAGGCCACCTTCAACCTGTGATTTGTTTTTTTCAGGGTTGAAATACCCAAAGCAGAACTATTGTTTAATTTAAAAATAAAAGTATGGTGTTTTTAAACTGCTTTTCCTGATTCTGGCACCCTCATCAGCTCTCCCAACATGAGGGCTAGAGCAGTGATAAATAGTCAAACACCAGCAACCACCCCAGCAACCACTACCAGCAACCACCCCAGTGTGTTAGACTGTGGCTTGGAGGTCACTGGTACCTGCATCCCCGTACTGCTTTATCACTCCATTCAGATCAATTGATGTAAATATGCTAGGGTCTGAAATTTACAACAGCAACAACAAAAATCATGTTTTGAAGTGCCCAGAGAGGAATAATCTTGTGTATTTCAATATCCCACCTCCTCACAGGGAAGAAACAGATAGGCAGAATGGAGGGAGGCTATGAAGGGCATATGTGCTCTTGAAAAGCAAAACACAGCTGGAAGGTATTATTTTAGACCTCGTGACCTTGATGCTGTCCATTTAATTAATGTATATGTCTTATTAAATCCTAGAGTGTGGTAAGTAGTATTCAGTACACTCATCCCTCACGGAGAGGCCCTGTAACTTCAGTTGAGAGCCTAGAAACGTGCTGTATGCTGAACTCAGCAAAGGGACTTATTATTGTGATACTTTTGTTATGGGCCTGATCCAACTCCTACTGAATCAGTCAATGGACACTTCCCATTAACTTCAGGCCTAAGATTGCTTAAAATGTTTCTCTCCCGGGAATTGAGTTCCAGTGAGGTGTATTGGGATTAATCCTCCTCCCTCAACCCCCAAAGATCATCTGTAGTTAACTTACCCGTGGGAAGGGGTGATTGTTTAGGGATTCATTCACTATCAGGGGGTAGCTGTGTTAGTCTGTATCCACAAAAACAACAAGGAGTCCGGTGGCACCTTAAAGACACCTAACGTTCGGTGGCACATCTGTTAGTCTTTAAGGTGCCACCGGACTCCTTGTTATTCACTAACTAAATGGTTTGGAAAACACTTTAAATATTTTCTAGAAATTTCTGTGTGACTTAGTGGATAGAACACTAGACTGGGACTCAGAATCCCTGGGCTCTATTCCTGGCTCTGTCCCTGGCCTGTTTGGTAAACTTGAGCAAATCACGGCACCTCTATGCCTCAGTTTCCCCATCTGTAAAATGGGGATAATGGTACCCTCCTTTGTAAAGGGCTTAGAGATTTACTGATGAAAAGTGCTCTATAAGAGCTGGGTATTATTTTTTTCATTTTGTAACCAGTTCTACAGTTGATCAAAAACTTTGATAACAGGTAGAGGAAAATTGCAAATATTTTTGTGATTTTTTTCCCCCTCTGCATTTTTCACCTGTTCTTTTAATTACTCCTGTGCTTAGAACTGCTTACAGTGGCCACCTGTCTCACCTCAGTCCCTTTTGAAACAGTAGTTCACATCACTCCCCTGCATCAAATTGCTGCACCCTGTGCTCAGAAAGGGCCAGCCGTGGTGAACGAATTCCACAGAAAAAGGCAGGGCTTGTTATGACTCCTGTCTTCTTGTAAATTCTGCTGGTGCCAATGAAGCAGAAATAGACATGGGCGAAGCAGAAATACCTACCAAAGTGACTTGAACAAGATTCTTTGGAAAAAGTGACCAGATCCCACGACTCTTGAAAGTATCTGCCACATGCATTACCTTACCCACTTGTCTGTGTAGTAAAAGCCTGTGATGCAGAAGGATTACTCATGTCTCTTTTCCCCCAAAGGAATACTCGTCCTATCCAAGCTTTCCTCAAAGCCAGTACTCTCAGTATTACACCTCTTCCTACAACTCTCCTTATGTATCGGCGAATAGCATCAGTCCATCAGCCATCCCGACATCCACATACTCTCTCCAAGAATCTTCACACAACATCACTAGTCAAAGCACAGAATCACTGTCTGGTAGGTGGATACATTATATTATTTAAAACCAATTCACTGTTTTACAAGCTCAATCATCTGTGGGCACAAATAATACAACTTTGCTGTCTGATTTGTGAGCGTATAAATTTACACCAACAAATTAAAGTTCATGGCAAAGTTCTGTTACTTACACCTGCAATTTTGCACATGTCCTTTGTGGGGGCAAAGGACGATGACTTTACAACTGCAGGCACAACTTTAGAGAACAATTTAGAAAATGTCAGCTCTATAAGAATAAGCCACGTTCTTTTCATGAGTATTTCTTAATTGCTTCCTATAGCTTAAATGTGTTCCTGGTGTGAGTGGTCTCACACCTTCAAATAAAAGATGGTATAGAAAGGGAAAATGTTATTAATCATGACTTTTAAACAATAGGCTAGTGTGTTAACAGATAGTTTTTATTAGTGATGAGCCCAACCCAAAATCCTATATCCAAACACATCCAAAATCTAAAAAGTTCCTAACTTTGCAGCCTCCTTCTAGTTTTTAGCTAATTTCTAACCACTAAACGTAATATCCGACTTCATAAGTATGTTAAAAGGAATTCAAGTGATTCTCTCTTAAAAAAAAAAATCAAGAGAAAACAGGTTGAGTTAAATGTCAATTATGAATTCCACATATGGCATCAATACCTTTGAAATTATCTCGGCTCTCCTGGAGTGCTTACTTTTCAGACTCTGAGGGCTCAAGCGGTCTATGGAATTACTGACAGATCATTATCCTCCTATGTACTGTCTGAATACAGCTTTCAGATGTCACTTTTCCACTAAAGTTTTCATTGGCATGCAATAACATTTATATAAAATACCACATAATTTGTGGATGATCACAATATACGCCCATTGTATGGTCTGCTGACTTATGGAACAAATCCGAACATCTGTGGTTGTTCAAAAAGAAAATAAACTAATATTGCTTTTAAAAAGTGATCGCAGATTGCTCTAAAAGCAGTTGGAGGATTTTCTATTCCTTAGATCTTATCTCAGCCTACTTGAGAAACGGTGATTTCAAAGAGGCTTGTTAGGAACAACCCAAACTCTCCTTAAGAAGAGTGCATCTGTACCAGGAGGGTTGAGAGGCCACAAGTTAGCAAGGTGACAAGAAAAATGTTTGAAAAGGATTTGTAATTTAACGTAAGTGATATCTAGAGAGTTTTATGAAAGTGAATCCTATCAATTGATACTTTACATAGTGACCTTCACCTCCGGTTTCTTCTCAAGTGTTTCTAAACTGCTGTACCGTCTGTCCTCTGATAAACAGCTAAACTGGATTAAAACACACATGTATTTGGGAATATTCTAGAGCTGGGTTTTTAAACTATTTTTTGTTGTTGAAAAATGGCCTTTTTAATAATGAAAATTCGTTGGGAAAAAAAATCATGTTTTGAAATTTTGTTTTTTTTACTTCCCCATTTCCAATAGAAAAGAGAAAAAGGGAGAAAGGAAACCTCAGAATACCAAAAAAACCACCCTGATTTTAAAAAGTGTGAAAATTTTCAAAAAAATGAAATCTCATGTATTTTTTTTAACTTGAAAATATATTTTCTTAAATGTTTGTGAAATGTTTCTATTGTTTGACCCATTCAAACACAAACCTTTGGAACAAACTTTTTTTTTTTTAAGTGGTTTGTGCAATAGCTAAATACCAAATACCAAAGCAGTTGTCACGCCTTTGCTAAAAGATACTTTTTGGATAACATAAAAGTATCGCAAGAACCACACGTGAAAGGTTGCAAATTTTAGGCTTTCAGCGGGATCCCTTTTTCTCTCAATAGGGGAATATGCAACCACACCAGTAAAAGATACAGAAACAGACAGGCAACACCGAGGGTCTGATGGAAAGTTACGAGGCCGATCAAAAAGAAGCAACGATCCTTCCCCTGCAGTTGACAATGAGATTGAGGTAATAATATTAATTCCTTTTGATAGTAAATCCAGCCAAGAGAAATTGCTACGTTGATTTACAAATAATCCGCTGTTAGACTAGAGAACGGTATGCGCCAAAACATAGGCAAGATGTTTGAGACTATAGCCACCATGGCTGATGTAGTTTTAAAAGAAAAATGATTGTTGTCTCAGTGTAATTGTCATAGGCAAAATTTTGCACTCTGGCTTTTAAGGCAGCGTTGGATTCTGTTATTTTGCTCTCCTGACATAATATCCTACTGGGATTTCTATGCATATTGGGATAGCAGATTGTCAGAGCATATATGGAATCGGAGAGCAGAGTTTGGGGTTTTTTTGTTTGTTTTTTTACCAACCTTAAAAAGGCATCTATGATCAATGTTTAAAGTGGTTTTGTTACCTTAAAAAAGTTGTAGCCACCTAATATTTTTTCTTAATTAAATGCACTCCTGAAGATGCTTAACGTGTGAATGTATTTGTCTCTTTCCCTCCTCCTTGTCTTTCATCACAGCGGGTGTTTGTGTGGGATTTGGATGAGACGATAATTATTTTTCACTCCTTGCTCACGGGAACCTTTGCATCCAGATATGGGAAGGTAAAATTTAATTCATATTTTTTTAACATTATTGTTTGTCAAGCAAAATTGCATTGGGAATTGTGGGGGCAGTTAATAAGGCAGCTTTTCTAACAGATGCTGCCCATTTTGTTCAGACAGATTTTGTTATAAATAAGTCCAGTGGTATTTCCCTCAAACATGTGAAAATTTAATTTAGTTTCCCTTTATATTGTATGTAGCCCCGCTTCTTCAAAAGCTTGCATTGTTCAGTTGCTGCTAGATAGGACACTGAGCTGTTGTTCTTTCAAGGCCTTTCTCCTAGGAGAAATAACTTATCCAGCAGCCAGAAAATAGTAACTCTAGCCTGCACACAGTAATATTTTCTGCTGGTCTATTGTTTTCATAAGAATCTCAGACAAATGATTTCTTTTTTTTAAGAGACTTTTTATATTGATTAACCCAAGTTCATTCCAAGTGTAGCATTGCATCTTCCCACTAACGATCTCAGATGGCCACTTAAGGCTAGATTTTTAAAGGTATTTAGGCACATGAGTAGGATTCTCAAAAGGGCCTAGGGCCTACTAGCCCCAGTCGGCATCGTTAGGGTACATAAATACCTTTGAAAATCTGGTGTTTAAGCTGATGGTGGCATTTATTTAGCAAACCCTATCTGTAATTAATAGAGGAAGCTTTGAAATACACTGAACTTGGCTGCTAAGGAATTCTGAAATAGCAGGTACTTAATAATAATAGTGCCTATACCTCATTTATTTGTATGGCAGTTTTCCTATTATAAATTCTTGTTCAAATGACTGAGTTACATAATGTCAAGCATTTTTAAGTGAAGAGAGAGAAAAAGACAATATCATTACCTAATTAAAGGTGGATAACCTATTTGACAACTGTTTCTGCATATGACTTTTAACATTGCAGCTTCATTGAGAGACTGGCAAATAATCCTATTTCTCTTTAGAAACTAGAAATATGATTTGACATCATTTTATGGCTTTACCAGCTGTACTTGATTTATGATGGTTATAACAACCTGGATGTGTAATTAGTGAGATAGATTTATTGTCTGCTGTTAGATGTGCACACTTGTAAAGGATATAAAATGGTGTTTGTGGTGCAGAAATCCACTGCAGCATTTGGAATGCCACTAACACTTCTAGCAGCACCTTCTGAAAATCAAGCACACATTTCCGAACAGGGATTTATTCAGGCCTATGTTGTACAGGGCAATTGGAATCGTTTCTTTTCCCACTGAATGTAATGAATGAGACAATTTGCAGCAGACATTGTGTAAGTTCTCACCTGGCTGCATGCAAAAAATAGAAAAGGAACAGGCAAGATAGAGAAAAATAAACTTGTGCAATCATACCGAGGTAGGGTGACCAGATGTCCCGATTTTATAGGGACAGTCCCGATTTTTGGGTCTTTTTCTTATATAGGATCCTATTACCCCCCACCCTCTGTCCCGATTTTTCACACTTGCTGTCTGGTCACCCTATACCGAGGATTGAGTTTTGGTGGTAAATGGCTGATGGAGAATTTCCCTAATGGAGGGCAACTTCATGCTGGTGCAAAGTCAGCTCCTGTGCTAGCCGTCCTGGGCACAGGAAGTATGTCGGGGCAAGGTAATTCAATGGTGGTGATTGAGCTCAGTTACATTGTACAGATCCTCTACTAAGATGAGATGACCTGGAGCATATTGCACTGGGGCCAACATAGATTCGTCTCTGGATCAGGGAGCTGTAATTGAGGCTATGTGAACATAGGCTGCATATTCTGAAAGAGCATATGCGAAGGTTAGGGAGAACCAAGAAAGTGAACTTTAGGTTAGGATTTTCAAAAGCACTTACCATGGACATAACTATTCCCATTGACTTCAGTGGTAAAACTCATGTTGATTTCAGTGGGAGTCTTACCCTTCACTTCAATGGAAGGCAGAGTTAGGGTAATCCTGAGGACTTTTGAAAACCTGCCTGCATAAGGGATTGAGGGGAGAAAATAGGAAAATGAAAACACACAAGGCTGTCCAGTATGAAAATGCTCTATGGAAAATAAAGTGAGAACCTTTCCATAGGATAGTTCTTAAGCATTCTGTAGAATAGAGAATTATAGAATTTGAAGGGCTGGTTAAAAATATTGTTAGAAAGGCTCTCCTTTGCTGTTAAGTTCTAAAAGATTTTTTGAATAACTTTTATAGAACCCCATTGAATTTCTACAGATCCTACTGGTTTAATCTCTTTTGAATTCCATAGAACTTTTCTATAAGGAAAATGGCTCAAAACTAAAACGATGATTAACCAAGGTTTTGATCTAAAAACCCACATTGAAATAAATTGATTTTGGATCAGGCTCTAAGTCAAAAGGGAAATGGAACACACACCAAACTTCTGTCATGGGAACCATTAAATAATAAACCCAATCCAGAAGTGTTTAAGCAAGTTGAATTCACAAATATGAGAGAAGCAGCCAAGACAGAGTGGAATAGAGCTCCAAAATTTCATACCTGAATAATACAGAAAGTATTAATCTCCGATATCCAGGCCTAAAATTTATTATTTTTATCTATAATCGATATTAAAGATAAACATGCCTCTTATTAGACAGACACATTAATAATTAAATCTCCCTCTTCTACTGGGGCAGCTGGGATTAGAACCATTGCTCTCTCACCTCCAAAAGCACACACTTCTACCAGCAGTACCTCATTGACCATACTAGTAGGGTAGAGCTGACCGAAACCTCTTTTGCAAAACAAAAAAAAAGTTCACAGTATTTTCCAGGTTTCATCAAAACTTTGTTTTGGTTGAAATTTTCTGACCACATCTAGTGCTGGAGCTCCTAGTTATTCTCTCCAAGTCACAACTATAAGGCGGGAACATCCCACTCAAAGCCAGGCCATTCCTTAGATAATGAGCTCCTTGGAGCAGAGACTGTGCTCTGGAAGTGTTTGGAAAGCACTGAGCACGTAGCAGCAATAAATAATAATAACAATTGCAGCACAAGGTGGACTGATCACTTGCCCATGGTCAAACAGCATATTAATGGCTGAGCCTGGACTTCTGCTTCTACTTATCTCCCAGCCTCAGTCCTCTGCTCTGGCCAACAGACTATTCAGTCTCCTTATATTTAATCTTAATGGGTTTCCCATGCAGTCCCTACAACATATCCCCTCTGTTGGAAACCAAAAGTGGCCTGTGAGCTCCAGGTCTCCCTTTACTTTCTTTCCAGGTATTTTTTTCACAAACAAATGTCAACAGATGGGATAAAGTTTTTTTAAAAAGTGTTTCCTATGCCTTAGAGAGGGGGCTGGGGGAGGAGCAGCTGTAGGAAAGGTGAGACTTGCAGTACAATGGATGCTTCTGTGCACCTATGAGTTGTGTCTGTATTGTGAGAGGTCACCATGTCATCCTGGAAGTCAAAAGATAGCCTTACAGGTCTGTCGCATCTTACGCGCATTGAACATGCGCGATTTCAGCTTTATGCGGTTGGCAAAAACAAAACAAAAAAAGAGAAAAATAACAATTTTAATACTGTACCTGTAGTGCGGGCGATTCCGCCCGCCATTACACTCAATGTAATTTTGACTATTCGCGATTTTCGCTTTACGCGCTGACTGCGGAACGTAACCCCAGCGTAAGATGCGACAGACCTGTTGCCTGCCCAGAACTGGGCCTCGAGATGGCAAACAGGGGTTCGTTGCCCGGTGTGCTTGGCACCAATAAAGACACCGAGGGGAGAAAGCAAGTCAAGTTTATTTCAGAGCTCTGAAAGGGCACTAGGAGACCAGCATGTCTCAGATCAAGTGCAGCACATACAAATAAAATTTTCCCTTTTATATTCCAAGCTGTTTCTGTGTAAGCCTTTGTTCTGTTACTCCCTCTTACCTCTCCCACCCCTCCCTTCTGTAGCAGTTACAATTAGAAAAGTTCCCATTCGTCTGCTTATCTTTTGGCCTTGCAAGGCCTGTTTACAGCAGCTGCCTGCTAGAAAAGCTGACCCTTACATTTCTGCTTCAGCATGTAAGCAGTTAGCATAGAAGTAGGTGAGAGTTCACAAGATGGAGTTTTGTGGTTCAGGTAGGCCCAGAGCAGAAGAGCTTCATCGGCACTTTTGGCCTTCCATTCTCCCGAGTTACCTGGTAGCTATGCCTAGTGACACCAACAGACCTGTATATGCTGAGGGTACAATTCCCAGCTGAGCCTGTCAGGACAGAGGCTGGTCCTCAGTTGCCATGCTTGTGATTAAGGGGATGTGCCATTGCTATTCCCATTGTGAAGTGGAATAGCTATCAAAATAACAAAATATCTTCCATGTGCAGGTAAAGTGAGTTTTTGTTCTAGCTGAATGTGGTAAAGAAACTGGCAAGCAGGAGAAAATTTCTCCACCCCTTTGCCTCTCAGCAGGAGGCCCCTGGATGCAGAGGTTCCACCACTATATTCAATTAACCCTGAATACTGTATTCAGTAGAGTTTAGAAACCTGTTCCACAGGCTTCTGCTTACAGTATGGGTGTAGAGTATTTGCTGTGAGACTAGAATGCTCAATAGACATAGCAGTTCATTTTTATGGCTTAATATACACCCCACCCAGCCTTTCTAATCCCTTCAGGCACATATTAAAGAGAGCTTCCATGCAGTAGAAAGGATGATTGCACTCTTTACTAGTCTGTAAAGAACTGAACACTGAAGTACAGGCCTCTGAGGAAAACACAAGGGGAAATAAGTGAGTTAAAACCAATTGCATTGTTACTAGCACTTTAGCTGAATTCAGTGCAGAGGTCTCAGACAGGAGGATGGTACGTTACCAGGTTTGGCCTCTCGTTCCAAGTTTTGGTTTGAAATAACCAGACACAGGGCAGAAAAGTGACTCTTTAGGTGCTGTTAATTTAATACTTGGTAAAGGAAGTAGCAAATACTCTTGTCAAGAGAATTCATTGACCTATTTTCCTCTCCCTGTGCCCAAATTTTGGGAAATTTCTAAACCCATTCCTCATAGCTTCTATAACCTTAATTGTCAACAGATTTTTTAATTTGCACGTCCCAGTTGTTAGGGGTCTTTTCTGCATTCCTTCCCAGTAGCAGTGAAACACAATTATTTGATAGTTCACTCTAACACTTCTTTAATGAATGAAAAAGAGGGACACTAAATACGTTTTTTTTACCCAGCTGGTGGCATGTTAAGTAGGGGATAATAATACTTCCTTACTCCCACACTTTTTCTGTTTTGTATATTTAGACTAAGTTCTTCAGGGCAGGTAATGTCTCTTACTCTGTTAGTATAGTGCCTAGCATGATGGTGCCCTAATCTTAGGTGGGGTCTCTGAGTGCTACTGTAACATTTAAAAAAAGGGACTGATGAACTGAATCTAATCTTATAATTACTCCTTCCATATAACAAGCCTTGGGGACAAATGGAATGGATTTCAATTTAGCACTGAATTACAAAACTGAAAATTTCAGAAAACAGCTGATGTTGCTACCAGAACATGGAATTTTGATGGATCTTCATCAGCCCTTTAATATTGTCTAAAAGTCAACAAGGGGTTTTGAGCTGTAAATTTGAATGTAAGATGCACATTAACTTCTGGAATTAGTCAGCATCTCAGATTGACTTGATTTTAACAGACACCACTGCAAATGCATAACAGAGCACATTGTGTCTAATTTTTAAACAAAAACCTTGGAAACAGTTATGCCCTGACACTCATTTTCTGGATGTTAGTTTATTTAGAATGGGAGAATTTAAAATTAGCTGTTTCTTATACTATACCATCTCAGGCTTTATCTGTCTTGGGGATTTATCTCAATTCCAGCCATCAGTAGCCAGCAACCGCCAGTGCAAAGCATATGGTAGGCAAGGAAAGCACAGAGGAATTTATCCCAGTTTCAAACAGGTGTAATCTGTACCACTGCAAATACTAAAGCTGGTTGGAAATTTTCTAATTTGAATGTTTTTCCATTGGAAAATGTCAATCTGTCAAAAGCTTGTATTTTTGCAGAAATGAATCAATTTCAACTAATCTTATGAGATAACACAGGCAAGGTTGGCTGTCTTGCGCTGTATTTTGGGTTCAAACAATGATCCCTGGATTACAAAGTGAAATTCATCTAGAATCACCAGGTTCAAGTTGAAGTGAGGTTAAACCTACTGAGTTTTATACAGCTTCCACCCAAAACTATACATTGGCTCAAGATTGCCCAAAACTGAGCATAGATTCACTGCACCTTGACAAACATGGCCAGATTTCCAGTTTTAAAATAAAACCCTGAAACTAAGTGGTTTGCAGTTTAACTATGCCTGTTTGGTCCAGCTTTACTTAGGAACACTCAGGAAACTTTAGGGAACAAACAGAGAATTCCAGTAAGCTGAAAGGAAAAGTGTCTTCCTGGTGAGCATTATTCGACTGTGGAATAAACTTTCCAAGGAAAGTGGTGAAAGCTCCATCATTGGGACACTTTAAAACTAGCCTGGGAAAAGCACTAGCAAACATACTGTAGGGAATAATCCTCTGTATCCACAGTGTCTCTGCTCTGTGTAACCTCATTAGTGACAGGTTCAAGTCTGAGGGAGAGCCTGAACCAGAGTTTCACCACCCCTTACAGTATATTTCTGGGTTTTCCTAGTTTCTTGTATGCTTGATTGACTTTTGAGATTTCTACTCCAACAGCAGCTTTAAGGCATTTTCAATGGGACCTTGGGGAATTAGGTGCCCAATTCCATTGACTTTCCATGGGAATTAGATGCTTAACTCTCTCATGACTAAGTCTGGCCAGAAAACAAGAATTCTGTTTCACAGAGAATTTCCAGGTTTCAGTATTTGGTTTCGTATTGGGACAAACCTGAGATCTTTTTAATTTTTTCATGGAAAAACAAGGGAGAGAGACCTCCCCCAGAGTAGCCAGTAATCCATTCATCTGGGATGTGGAAGACCCGCGTTTAAATTCCTGCTCTGCCTGATTTGGAGCAAGAGTTTAACGTGGGTGTCTTCCCACATCCCATGTGATTACCCTAACCACTGGGCTATTGGCTATCCTGGGGTGGGTGGGTGTCTCTTGTTTTGTCCAGAAACTCCATCCTGGACCTAAGAAACCTTCCTGACAAAAGGGAATTGGCATTTTCAGAAAAAAATATTTCATCCAAGAACTTCTGACCAGTTGTACA